ATCATGATTTTTTTTAATCTTCATTGTAATATGAAGTTTCAGGACACTTCAGATAATTTTTGTAGATCAAATATTTAAAAGAGAAAGCATTCTAAAATTTTACAGGCAGCATAACTGCTCATATTATGGCTTAATGTTAGCTTACCACAGTGGTGGGATTCAGCCGATTTGCACCACTTCAGCAGAACCGGTAGCTAATTTTTTGCTGCCCAGGCACAGAATGAATTTCTGGAAGCGGCATCCACACAGAGAACCGGTTGTTCACATATTTGAATCCCACCACTGCCTTACCAACATAAATGGTTATATTGTTAACTCAAAATGTTTAGTTTGCATTCCACAATAAATATACAGGTAATCTTTGCTTAATGTAATTGAATGTGTGGATGACCTTGGGGAATGAGGATAGAGATGCTGCCTAAGAAGCAATTAGATAAGAGAAGTAGGAGTCCCCAGTGGCTTAACACTCAGAGAAAGAAACTTAGGAAGGACCTGCCCAGATGGATAAAAAACAGTTAAAAGTGGTGGCGGGAAATTTGTACTTTCAGACTTGCCAATTCATTTAATTTAGCCTTACAATAAAGTAGAATTAGTTCTTCTAATTACGTATCCTGTCTAGGAAGTTACCTGAGAGAGTTGATGCTTCAGTTGGGATTGGCAACTCTGTTGCTAAACGACATGGTCCTTAAGAAAAATATCAAGTGGCCAGGTCCAACATATGACATCATTCCACTTCAATTGTTAAGCAAACCAATTAGTTGCAAGTTGCAGTCATGTGACATCACACTAAATGGTTGTTTAGTGTGATGTCACATGACTGCAACTTGTGATTTATTGCTAGAAGTAAATAATTTATTTTGTTGGAAGCCAGTTGTGAGGGTCATAAATGGCAATCATATGACCGCAGGACACTGTGACCATTGTAAATCAAGTTAGTTGCAAAGTGCCTGAATTGGGATCATGCGACCTCAGGGTGGCCATAAATTTGAGGACCAGTCATAAATCTTTTTCAGCACTGTTGTAAGTTGGAATAACGAGACAATTGGTAAGTGAGGACTGTATTGTTTGGCCTCCTCCTGGTTTCTTATTCTTGGCTCTAGTTGTAGAGACAACTCATTGAGAGTTACTCAGATTAAGAATGGTAGAGGTAGGAAATTTTGTCTCCACGGGGAATTACTAAAGCATCGCACTCTGATTAGAATTCACTGTCAAAGCCTTCAAAGAAGTAACTTATTTTTGTTTTTATGTTTGGTTTCTTTGGGCTGTCAAAGGATTAGAGTTGTAGTTTGAAGACATTTGTGGACTCTACAGTGCTCCTGAAAGATAATTTAACTTGTAAATTATAGATGAAGAATATTATCATTTCACTTAATGAAAGTGAGGACATTTAGAAGTCTTTAGGTATGTTTACAAAATTCACATAAAGCAGGCTTATATCAAAAGAACATGCTTTCTCCTTTCCTATCTTTTTTTTTTTTTTTGATAGACGTGAGCGACAAGAAGTTTTATATCATAGTTGTAGCCCAATGAATAGTTCCAGGTCTTCATCAGATGTCTGATCTCAGTATGTATGTCTGCAAAGCTGATCAAATGATGGAAGTGGGGTTTGTTTTTATTTTATTATAAATTAGCTGGTATGATCATATGATCATTGGTATAATAGGAGAGTAGATCTTACCTGTAGCAAAAGGGTATCAGAATTCATGAATTTTATATTTCCTTTGTATTTTGCAAATGTTTGTGATATTAGCTACCTTTATTGTTTATACATTTGTCATGTTGAAGTGTTTATTGTGGTTTGTTGAGTATCCAGCTGAAATATAAAGACTAGTGGAAAGTACAATAAAAATGCTATTGTAACCTTTGTTTAATACTCTACTGTTTAATTCCTTTATTTCTTCATAATAAGTTCAGAAATGAGTTCATAATATTGCATCTATTTTTAACTTTAAATCATACCATGAAATCTTTGAAGAAAGGCAGTAAAGATGATTTACATGAAAATACATATGTTCTTGAAACCACTGATCCACAAAGCACGTGTCCAGTCACTCAGAATGTAGATTGTGCTGCTGCTTAGATGATATTTCCAGTGTTGCTGGAGACTGAGAAACTGTTGTTCACCTTACTAAACTTCAGGCATATCCCGCCACCACTAAATATTCTTTCCCTCTCTTGTCTTTCCCTTCCATTCCAAGCAGAATTCATTAAATGGTTTTGTCAGAGGCACACAAGGACTGTTATAATGTGAAATCCAGGAAAATTGGGGCAATATTTCTAGAGAATTCATCTTTTGAATTATGAATAATAGCAACCAAACGTGTGATATTAAACAATATTAAAGTTCTTTTATTATTAATTGCTGAATACAGTGTACCCATACACCAGACTATTCCTTTTCGTGTACGTTCTCAGCCAAATTATGCAGGTTCTCAGCCAGCAGCGTCGTACTGTCTGCATATACTCATACATGCCATCAATGAGCATACCACCACCATTGCATTCACATTTATGCATAAATATACTAATCTGCCAGGATAATACACTTGCCTGATTCCCTGGACCAGGGGTAGGCAACCTTGGCTCTTTTATGATTTGTGGACTTCAGCTCCCAGAATTCCTCAGCCAGGCACGCTGAGGGGAAAGGGAGAGGTTTCCAAGCTGAGCCATGCTGGCTCACGAATTCTGGGAGTTGAAGTCCACGAGTCATAAAAGAGCCAAGGTTGCCTACCCCTGCCCTAGACCTGATGTAGAATTGCATCTTGTCTTTTATTTGCAACAAGGACAGGCTTGCAACAGAATAGATTGTATCCAGCAGAATATTCTTTCCCAGCCTACTTGGCTACATAATTTAAATAGACAAGAGGTGCAGAATTAATAGTACCCAATATTTTATTGGTATTTAAGAAATTTTCAAGATTAGTTTTAAAATTAATTTTACATTTTTATATAATAAATTTAGAATTTTAATATCATTAGCTTATGGCTAAATAACAACAGTAACAATTATACCTAAACAGTATCTGGGCATTTTACAGTTGGATAACATCAAGCATTGATAAATTTTTAAAAAAGCGATTAATAAAGAATAGATCCAAAGAATAAGAAAATTGTTAAGACAAAATTGAATGATGGAAATACCATCAAAGCTATCAATACCTGGGCCAAACCTGTGATATGACACACCGTTGGAATTATTAACTGGACACAACCTGAACTGGACAGTTTGGATTGAAAAACAAGAAAACTGATGCCTATTTGTTATGTATTACATCCCTGTAGTGATAATGATAGATTATACCTGCCCTGCAAAAATAGAAGCAGAGCTTTACTTTAGGTCAAACAAACTGAAGCATGCATTGGCTGGTTATGTAAAAGCCAGTAAAAAAGGAGACTGATGCAAGTTAAAAATTGGAACTTACTGAGTGTACAGAAAAACCTGAATACCAAAATAATACGTGAACAAAATGCCGGCAAAGAAAAGCATTATATGGTCAATTTCTTTAAAAGATGGAGGGGAAAGTGGAAAAGATAAAACCTGGCATATTCACCAAAACAATTCATTAGAACATCTGTAAAAATTATCATGACCAGTAATGAAAAATTAGTGGGAAGATATAGTTGGAAAATTTAATTTAAAATGAGCAGGTTAAAATATTGTGGAATTTCCAAATACAAACCAATAAAGTCTTGGCACTTAACACACCAGATTTAAGTGTGGTTGACAAGAAGAAGATGGATAATTATTATGTCGATAATTGATGTTACAATATTAGGGGATAACAATAGAAGACAAAGATTGGGAGTTCACAAAGTATCACAAAGTATTTCACAAAGTTGAAAGACTGTGGCATAAACTGGCTGTGGTCACAGTGGTTATCAGTGGATGGTATATGAAAAAGCCTTGGATGACACTTAGTAAATCTTCAGATTGACAAAATTTCCATGAATTAATTACGAAAGGCTACATGACTTGGATTTGCACATACTGTACACTACTTTGATACATTAGGTTCTTGGGAAGAACTCAAAGCTTATGAAGGCCAACAACAGCTAAAGAATTGGGAGCTGTAATTACATATTGTTGTGTATATAATAATAATCTAGAGAACTTGTAAAATGTTTATGACATGTTTTAAGAGATACTTCTGGACACTTTGGGAGCCCCTTGAAAGGAAATGGGAACAGGTTATTGATAATCCTATAAAACTGTGTTGATTATGACATACTACTGTCAGTTTTTGAAAATGTGTCCGTGAGATGAGTTCCTGAAACAAATACTCAGAAGTGAAATTTGAATCTCCCACCATTTTCCAACATCTTAATTAACAAGGAGAAATATGACTGCACCTGGGTTATCTTTCCAAATGAAAATGAAATGCGTGCTCATGCACACATTCATTTTCTTCTATCCTACATGACAAAACATGACTATTCAGTAGGACAAAAAACAAGTTAGGGGTGATTTTCATTGAGTCAAGCAGAGTGAAAAGAAAGTCTCTTTTAGACTTCAGTCCCAACTGATTTGTCCACCTTTTTTACGTGCTGTCCTTTAAAGTCAATAATGAAATGCACAAGAAATATTGGGCTGTTTTTGCACCTACATAAATGTGTATTCTGAATTTTTATTTGCTATTTATCACTTTAGTATTAATGATATATATTTAATAAATCACTTTACAATAAATTTGACTCTTGCTAAAAATATCAAAGTTTGTTTCCTCCTAGGAGACATTTGAAAAAAAATAAATAAAAAAGATACTAAGTATATCTGAGATAGATTATCTCAATGTGTAGCACTGTCCACTGGCTGCAGCAAGTATGATGAAGCCTATTTGTATTATGGCTCTACCTTAATCAAAAAAATAAGTAAATTGTTTACTAAGCAAATTTATTATTTTTTTAAGCGAATAATAACTGGTAAAGTGAACTTTTTATACTTCTACCAGGAAGCTGTTCTTCTTAATCTGCATTGTTTTTCTCAATTGTTTTTATTTTAGGCAGTATTTACTCTTCTTTTGGGTCCTTTCACCTTCTTTAATGTGCAGAAAACTAAATATCTTCAGATCATGACATCGCTAATGAGGTGGTTAGGTAAGTCTACTAGTCACAGGTATTTTGTGTCCTTATTTCCATATAGGATTTGCCTTTATTCTTCCATATGTGTCCCACATCTGTTTTGGAATATCCCCAACTCTCTGGATTGGATTTGGCTAGCTGTGGGAAGATAGAGGGACGAAGAATACCATTCTGTGTTGTTGCTACAAAAATGTATGTGATTGCTTCACTTACGTTGCAGTTGTGATGATGGCTTAATGGATACTATGGGGTTTAACCTAGAAACTCTCCTTTGACCAGGGCATAATTCTTAAAACCAGAGCGATTCATGATACAAAATTAAGTAGTTTTGTTTCTATAATTGTTATTGCTGTGCATTTTAGCAGCTTGGAGGAAAAAAGAATGACTGAGTAGCAGCTACTATAAGGACTGCAAAGAACTTAAAAGAGATGCTTCGCAAAGCATATACCGTATTTATCGGCGTATAACACGCACTTTTTCCCCCTGAAAATAGGGGGCAAATGATGTGTGCGTGTTATACGCTGATATACGGCCAGCCCGGGTAAATTCGGCCATATTCTTCAATACGGGCCGGCCCCAGCAGTTCCGGCTGGTTTCCGGCAGTTGGCTGTTCCTCCCTGGCCGCCTCGGCTCCCCCCGGTTTGTCGGTGAGCGCCCGGCAGAGCGCAGCGTTGCCAGGCCTCCCCCCTTCGCGTGAGGCGTCTGGCGTTCCCCCTCGCACTTGGCTGCGGCGGCCCAGGGTATTCCGTCCCGGCCTCGACACGCAGCGCCGCAGGGAACGGAAGGGGGAGGGCCGTACCTGGAGCATCACATGAAGAATTGGCTGAAGAATACGGCCGAATTTACCCGGGCTGGCCGAGAAAGGCGCACCTCCAGCCTTCCCCGCAACCGGGAGAAGCCCCCTCCCTTTTGCAAGGTCGCCCCCTCCCCGCTTTTGGGGTGGGGGAGAATTGAGAGAGAGAGAGAGAGAGACACTCACACACACACACAGAGGAGAGGGGAGCCGGCCGGCCCACCCGTTTCCCCCTTTCCCTGCGCCTGCCCGGGTAAATTCGGCCGTATTCTTCAGCCAATTCTTCATGTGATGCT